TCAGGGAACCAAAAAAGCAACTGCAGTTTTCCCCAATTCCCTAGCTCGGAGGGAATTACCACAACTGAACATACACTTCCAGATAGGGCATCCATCCTTGTCCTCTATGCTGCGGAAGGTGTACCCAGGTCCATGGCCTTGAACCAACCCAGTGGACTGAGAGCCTGAGAGCGTCAGGCCAAATGCAAGACAACATCGTAATTGTCTGCCAGAAAAGCACCTCCAAGCCTTGGTGCTTGGAGAGCAACCCCAACTGCAGAGCAAGAAAGTGGGGGGGGAAGGTTACATACCTTCCAGTCTTGACTGGAGAAGAACTTGGGGTTAGGCAGTTTCCCCATATGGACCACCAAAATGACGCGGTTTATGGGTTCAGGGATGCTGGGACCCCAAAATCACAACACGCAGGTCCTGCCCGAAAGAATTTGACCCAAGCCTTCTTGTAGTCAAAAACAAGGTTTATTGAAGATTTGCCATATTAGCTAGACTCTTAAGGAATCTGAGCATCTATGGGCTATTGGCTAGCTTCTAAGAATCAAAGCCTCAAGGTACCTCTTGAGATAATCTGCAGTTCCTTGAGTGTTGGTTAAATCAAGAAACATCCACAGAGCAAGGTCCTAGCCTAAGTCTCCTGGTGGGAGATATCAGACATAGTTCCTATACCACTGCAGCTCACAGTCCACTCAGAAGAATGCTAGGTCCCCATATTCCTTCCCAAGCTAATTTCACAGGGCTGCTGTTTACAAACTACAGTCTAGCAGAACTGTCCCAGTCTTTTTCTCAGCTGGACATTTTCTCTCCCACATCCCTCATCACCTCATTCTCACACTTCTGCAATATCCTTCTGATTGATTTCTACGCTTGAAATCTCTCCCTTCTCCAGTAAACCCTCCACTCAGCTATCAAAGCCATCTTCCTGAATCACAGGTCTGACCGTATACTCCCCTACTCAATCAGCTTCAGTGGCTCCCTATTGCCTTGAGGATCAACTATAAAATTCTATTTGGCTTTTAAAGCCCATAATAACCTGGCCCCTTCCTGTTTTACCTGTCTTCTTATACCTTACTCCTTTCAACATTACTCTTTGACTCAATAACACTGGCCTCTTTATTGTTCCTAATAGTTCCTCTTTACTCCATCTCATTGTTGTTGTTCAGTCATGCCTAACTCTTCAAGACCCATTTGGGGTTTTCTTGGTCAAAAAAAAAATTGCCATTTCCTTCTCCAGTTCACTTTACAGATGAGGAAACTGAGGCAAACAGGGTTAAGTGACTTTCCCAGGGTCACACAACTAGCAAGTATCTAGGGCCAGATTTGAATTCATGAGAATAAGTCTTCCTGATCCCAAGCCCAGTGCTCTCTATCCACTGTGCCACCTTATCAACTATGCTGTCTTATCTCAGTGCATTTTTACTGGCTGTCCCCCACACTTTGTAACTTTCTCCCTCCTCATTTTTGTCTCCTGGCTTCCCTTAAGCCTCAGTTCAAACCCCACCTTCTATAAGAGGACATTCCTGGTCCTCCTTAATCCTAGTGGCCTTCCCTTATCTGCACTTAAGACTTTGCACAGCTCTGACTCACTAAATCCAAGTCATGCTCAAGTCATCACTCTCATGATGTCATTGGTCCTCTTTGAGAAAGAAGGACAAACAACAACCACAATATTATACAGAGTTGTTTCCATGTTGCCTCCCCCCATTAAATTGTGATCTTCTTGAGAGCAGAGGCTGTTTTCTGCCTTTCTTTGTATCCCCAGTATTTAGCATGGTGCCTGGCACATAGTAAGTGCTTAATAAATACGTGTTGATTTGAATTGACCTCCAATGTGGGAACTCTCCCCCCACCTCCACTACATACACACACACACACACACTCCAAAGCAAGACTTATGTTCTTTCCCCTCTCCCACATAGCATCTCCTTCACTATGGAGCCCAGGGCACTCTCCTCTGAGAGTAGCAAATTAAAATTAAAAGAAGCTTTGACTTTATTGATTTTTTACTTGTAAGCATCTCAGAGAACACCAACTCAGTTCTTGTGAGATAAGAAAAAGCAGCCACTCATCTCCCTATGAGGTGAATAAGGAAACGGTGCACAGAATGGTAGAGCTAGAAGTGACCCCAAAGGTCATTTAATCCACTCCCTTAATTTTATAAAGAGGAAAACTGAGGCCAAAAAAGGTGAAGTGGTTGGCCAGAGGCCACAGACTCAAACTTAGGCCTCAGGAGCCTTTGGACATCCAGTCCTGTATCCTTCCTACTCTTTCTTCCTGCCTTGCCCATCATAAATTACACTATAAGTCAGCAGAGGCATTTTAGTCCCTTTTTAAAAGGGACTTTAAAGTCCCCATTTTAGATAGTGAGACGTTTCTCCACCATGTTAGGCTACCTTAGAGAATAACATGTATCTTTCCCATAAGCCCTAAGTGCCTGGGAGTCTAGCTAGTTCTCATGGCCAGCAGGGTATTTCTTAAGAACCATGTAGGATGAACCATGTAATCCTCTCCGAGAGCTGCTTCTTCAGGAAAGCCAGAGGTATCCAGGGCAGCATGGCATAGAACAATGGATTTGAGATCAGAAGACCTGGGCTGGAATCCGAGCTCCATCAATCACAACCTGGATGTCCTTGAGCAATTGACTTCTCCATGGTGGGGCTCAGTTAAGTTAATCAGCAGAGGGGTTTGGACTTGCTATAAGATCCCTTCAAGCTCAGACACCTGTGAGCCTACAGCTTGGAAGAGCAAAGCTTGCTGACTTGGGGCACTTTTAGGCCTCACTATAGAAAAGGACTGTGTGATTGAATAACCATTACAAAATCATACCCTTTGACCCAATAATTCCATTGTCGGGAATTATCTCTCAGTCTTATTTTTTAAAAAAATTATCAAAAAACAGTTACCTGTTCAAAGATTTGGGCTATTTTAATGCAGTTAAGACTGTCAAGTGAGAAATACACAAAGAAATCTGGAAAGACTTTTATGAAATAATGCAAAGTGAAAAAAAGTCAAAGAAGGAAAATGGAGTACATTAACTGAGACCATATAAGAAGAAAAATGAGATTGAATAGGCCAAAAAAAAAAAATCCTAATGAGGCCATAGATGACTGAAAAGTTGATTTCATGCTTTATGTGTTGGAATTAACTCCAACATAAGTAGTGATGAACAATTTTATTTGGCTATATTGATGTTCAACGTTAAGCTTTTAAGAAAGCATTCAACCTCAAACAAACAAAAACAAAACTGGGGCTGTGGTTCTCTTTGGCCTTATCTGGGGGGTGAAGGGTGGGAGCAGAGGTGAGGAGGCTGCTTCTGACCTGCTCCTTGGTGGCCAACTAGGGATGTGTAGTCTCATCGTGGTTCTAGTCACTACCCTGAGATGCAGGGGATAACCGTAACATCTGGCTCTCTGCCCAATGCCCCACTTCTCAGGAACGGTTAGGGATACCTCTGAAGGCAAGGGATGGAATAAATGGTCCCTCAAAGTCCTTTTATGGCCTAAGGAGTTTATGAAGACAGCTCAGGACATTTGGGATTTTGAGACAAAGGAAATAGGTAGGTTATCAGAGGCAAGGTGGGGCGAGGCACTGATCCGCAAACCCCTTAGGTTTGGAAGCTAAAGGATGAGGGACATATAATCATGGCATTCCCTCCACATTCTTGCCAGCAATGGAGTGTGGGGAATGTCCAGCCTACTCTCCGCTCAGGCCTCAAACCCCACCATATCTGTTTTAACCCCTCCCTCAGTGGATATTGGGCAAACTCATATGGCTTAGACCTATTTTTTCCATTTTGAGAAAATTCTAAGAAAAAATTCAGATAGTTATAAAGGCAGACTTTAAAACAATACCTAATGACATCTGCAGTGAGAAAAGTCTTTCTGGGAATATTTTAGCCAAGTCTGTGGTTCAGTGGAAAGGGCACTGGACTCTGGATTCAAATCTAATACTTATTATCTGAGTCACTTAACTTCCTTAGGTGTCAGTTTCTTCTTCTGTAAAAGGAACAAAGTAGATTGCCCCCAAACCCCTTCCAGTTCCAGATCCTTTAGGGATCTATGATTTAGTGGGGACTGTTACTTGACTTCCTCAGACCTCGGTATAGAAGATTGGCCAAAAGATTTGGGGTCCAATTTAGCTGCAAGTCTTGGCTTCGTTTCATTTCAGATGAGGGATCGTTTCCCAGAGTAATCTGTGATCACCAGCTTTTTTTTGGTGGAACTTCAAGGAAGCCTTGCTTCCATAAGTTTCTTGGAACTGGGGTCCTGTCCCAGGAAGGGTCTGCATCTTTGGAACTGGCCAGCTGTTGGTAGAACAACCCCAGCCTATTTTATGGAGGCCGCATTCAAGGCTCCTCCTGGGCTCTGTAGTTAGTTAATAAATGGTACTGGGAGGCCCCACCCATGACCTCCATACCAGTAGCAGGTAAGCTCTTTGAAAACAGAGACTGATTAATTTTCGTCCATGTAGCTCTAATCTAGCACAGCCTTGCAGATCTGTCAATGTGTCAAAGACCTGTGATTCTACAATTTCAGGTGATTTCTGTGATTTCATAGGTGTGGAAACTCCTTTCCACCAATAATTTATAGACTTAGAAATTCTGAAATTCTGTGATTCTATGACTCTCCAAATGGAACCTTCAGGCACCTGGGACCAGGCCTCAACTGAGAATGGCCCAAGAGTGAGAGGATGGCCCTAGGCCTAAGACCAGGTGGAGTGGTAGGGAGAGGAAAGAGTCTCCAGGCCTGGGGCAACAGCCCAGGCAGGCAGGCAGACAAGCAGCTCTGCCCCTGACACAGGAGATGTATTCATCCATCACTGCTCTCTCCCTGGGGCCTTTAATTACAGGAGAACAGAAGGATTGAGAGCAGCTGCCCTGACAGGGTGTACAGACGGCCCTGAGGCTCTGAGCCAGAGGTGGAGGCAGCTGGGAAAGGCGGAGTCCAAGGCCCCTCCCTTCTTCCTTTCCTTCACCAGCCTCAGGTGGGAGGAACCCGGGAAGTGGCAGGTGAGAAGAGGAGAAGAGTGGGGTGGGGCAGGATAGGCAAATCCAAAATGTCTAGTCTGGTGCCCTGCCAGTCCAGCTCCGGAGGTCTGTGAGAACCTGAGCCACGCGTGCCCAGGGAGGTGGAAGGTGAGAGTTGGGAGGTGTAATGCTGAGCCAAGCTCAGCCCCCAGGTAAGGTTACTTGAACGGCTGGCAGGCCATGGGACTGAAGAAATACTGTGGGGCAGAGTAGGAGCAAGGGTTGGCCTGGGGGAAGGAGAAAGGGCAGCTATTCCTTGGGAAGACTTCCCTTGACAACTTGAGGCTTCTCCTCCAGGTCTCCAAACCATAGCATCCTGTTCCCTGGCCAGGCAGCTGGAGTTCCTGGGCCCTCTTCCCTAGTGCTACAGTCTTTCCTTGGTTCCTGGTAGGACCTGCCCTGGGTTTCCCTTCATTGGTTCTTCCTTTTATGCCATGCTGCTGTGACTCACAGCTGTGTGCTTGGGATCTGAATGAACCTGTTCTCCCAACATCAGGCTGGGAGTCCCAAGATGGGGGACTCTGTTTCCATCTTCCCTCTTCTTTAGCATAGGCTCAGTGTACTGAGGATGGAAGGGTAGGGTTTGATCAGATATCAGGATTAGTAACTTAGTCTAGTAAAAAAAAAATTAGAGAGACAGAAGATTTATACAGGCTCTAATTTTGGCTCTCCCTCTTATTATCTGAATGACCTTGGGCAAGTCAGTCGACAAGTATTTATTAAGCATCTATCCTGTGTCAGGCTCTGAGCTAATACTAGGGATACAAAGAAAGGTAAAAGATAGTCCTTGTTCTCAAGGAGCTTACAATCTAATGGGTGAGACAATATGTAAACAACTATGTATAAATAAGACATGTCCAAGATAAATTGGAGATAATCAAGACAGAAAAGGCACCACATTAAGGGGGATCAGAAAAGGCTTCTTGTAAAAGGCTGGTATTTCAGAGGAGACTTGAAGGAAGCCAGTAAAACCAGGAGGCAAAAATGGGGAAGGAGACATTTCCAGGCTAGTAGTTGAGAGTTGGAGTGCAAAGAACAGTGAGGAAGCCAGTATCATTAGATGGAATAATACCGCAGTAGGTGGGGAGGGAGTGTAGAAATAAAAAGACTGAAAAGGTAGGAAGAGGCTAATTTGTGGAGGGCTTTAGAAGTCAGAGGATTTTATATTTGAACTTGGAGGTGATAGGAAGTCCCTGTTGTTGATTGAATTGGGGAGTAATATATTGAAACTTGTGCTTTAGGAAGATCATTTTGACAACTGAGCGGTGAGAGACTTAAGGCAAGACAACTAACCAGTATACTATTGGAATAATATTAATATGAAGCGATGAGGGGATGGACCAGGGTGGTGGGGATGGACCAAGGTGGTGGTGATGTCAGAGGAAAAAAGGGGGAGCATAGGAGAGCTATTATAAAGAGAGAAACAATAGGCCATTGCAACTGATTGGCTTTGAGGGGTGAGAGAGTGAAAAGTCAAGAATGATACCTAGGTTGCCAGCCTGGGTGACTGGGAGGGTGGTGGTACCCTAGAGAGGAATAGGGAAGTTAGTAAGAGGAAAAGATTTGGGGAGAAAGATAATGAGTTCAGTTTTGAACATGCTGAATTTAAGATCTCTAGGAGTTATCCAGTTCAAAATATGCAATTGGAGTGCTGGAGATACCAGACTGGAGGTCAAGAGAGAAGTTAGAGATGCACAAATTAAGCCTGAGAATGATCTGCTTGGAGATGATAGCTGAAACCATGTGAGCTGATGAGATCACCAAGTAAAATAGCATAGAGGGAAAAAAGAAGAGGGCCCAGGACACAGTCTTGGGGGACACCCATGGTTAATGGGTGTGATGTAGATGAAGATGCAGAAAAGGAAACTGAGTAAGTCAGACAGGCAGGAGAGGCAGAAGAGAACAGGGTCATGAAAACCCAGAGAGAAGAGAAGAGGGTGATTGACAGTGTCAAAGGCCACAGAGGTCAGAAAGGATAAGAATTGAGAAAAGGCCATTAGATTTGGTCACTAGGAGATCATTGGTAACTTTGGAGAGAGAAGTTTCAGTTGAGGGGTGAAGTCAGAGAGTGAGAGGAAAGGATATGGAGATACTCATTGTAGACAGACTTCTCAAGTTTAGCTACAAAAGGGAGAAGAGCGATGGAATGATGCTGGGGGGGTGAGGGGGAGAAGAAGGATGGAGTGAAGGTTTTTTGAAGATTGAGGAGACAAGGGTATGTACTTAGGCAATAGAGAGGCAGCCAATAGACAGGGAGAAATTGAAGATAAGTGATAGAATGAAGATAATGGAGAAAGAAATCTGGAGAAGACAAGATGGAATGGGATCACATGTACATGTGGAGATGTTAGGCTTGGCAAGGAGAAGGGCTACCTCTTCATGTGAAATAGGCATAAAAATGGAGCTGGGACAGGGAAAACACCTGAGTGATGTGAGATGAGGAGGAGAAGGGGAAGCTCATTGACGATCACTCTCTCTTGGAGCCTCGTCACTTTCATCCGTCAAATCTGCTCAACTTGTGTCGTAGAGACATAACATCATCGATTTAGAATTTGAAGGAACCATTAGAGGCCATGTACTCCAACCTTCCTCTTTTACAGATGAGGAAACTGAGATTTAGGAAGGTTGGGTAACTTACACCAGATCATCGGTAACAAGCACCAGAGCCAGGCTTCAAGTCCACAGAGTGACACAATGTTAGAAGTAGAAGGACCTCAGAGAACATCTCTTCCAAATCCCTCATTTTTTAGATGAGAAAACTGAGACCCAGAGATATTAATAACAGCTGACCTTTATAAAGTGCTTCATAAACATTTCATTTGATCATTCACAAGTCTGCAAGACAGGTGATATTAATATCTTCATTTTATAGATGAGGAAACTGAGGCTGAAACTTGCCCAGTGTTACATACCTAGTAAATACCCGAGGTGGGGGCCAAAGCCAGGTCTTCCTGTCTCCAGGCCAGTGTTCTGTCTACTGTACCACTCTATTTCTCAAGGTCATACAAGTAGTAATGACAGAGCTAGATTTGAAACAAAATTTGGCCAAAGTTCATGTGAGATATTGATGTGAAGTGCTTTGGAAAATATAGAGTGCAATGCATATCAATGGAAAGTGGTACAAGTTTCATCCAAACATAGTAATTATGGAACATTATCTCTGCATTAGGCTCTGTGGGGCATGCTACAAAGATGTGTATGACTTTTGGAGCTGGGGAGATGTGAGACATACACATGAAATGTTAAAAATTATTTTAAGGCAATATATGGTTAAGTATCAAGCCAGTGGGGTCAAACTGAAATAGAAAGTAGATCTCTGAGGGCCACGTAATGACTTAGAGAACCACAAATTAATATTACCTATGTTTTATCATATTTTTATTTATTTTTGTTAAACATTTCCCAATGACATTTTAATATGATTCTGGCTGTACTCTGGAAATACTGCCTGTAGGTGATGAGTTTGAGACCTCTGGTGTAGACTATAAGTTCTATGTTATTTCCCTTTTTTGGGGGAAGACTTGTTTGAACTGATACAAAGCAAAGTGAGGAGAGCCAGAAGAACAATTAATACAATGGCCCAACAACGTAAAGGAAAACAGCCCTGAAAGACACCTGAATTCTGACCAACACAGTAATCAACGAGTGATCAATACGGTAATTATGACTTCAGGGAACCAATCATGAAGCCTGCCTCTTTCCTCTCGAGAGAAATGATAGACGATAGCTGCAGAATGAAGTCAGGTGTGGCTGCTGAGTTGATTGATTTTGCTCAGTGATTATATCTTTGTTTCAAGGGAGAGTTTTACTTTACCCATCAAGAACAAATCCTTGGAAAGTGACAGCAATGTTTAAAAAAACATAAAGCATCAATAAAATGTTGGGTTTTTTGAGGTAAAATAAAGTCACACTATATAGAGGGCCTTGAATGCCAGGCTAAGGAATCTGGACTTAATCCTACAGGTAATGAGTCAGAGGAGATTTCCAAACTCTCCTGTCTGTGCTGAAAGTGTTTTGGAAAGATTAATTAGGCAGAGAACCCTGAACCCTTGAGCCTATGCTGGTGCAAGAGCAGGTCTTACCAAGCAGGAAGAGCTTGCAGTATGGTCCCAGCCATGGATAATATAACTGAGACCTGAGGATCAGCCCAGCTAAGCCCAGAGAGGCTCATCCCCCACAGCCCACAAAGACCAACTACCAACGCCATACCAATTAAATCAGGGATCCCAGAAGGATTGGAGTTGTCTGGTGGTAGGCATAGGCTGTGTCAGAAGTACAAGCAACTGGAGATGGGGAAACCAGTTAGGAGACTATTGCAGTAATGCAAGTGTGTAGTAAAAACGGCCTAGGCAAGGGTGGTAATAGTGGGGAAAGGAAAGAAAGAGGTGAATAAAAGAGATTGTAGAGGTCAAATGAGTAATACTTGGCAATTATCTGGATGTGAATAAATGAAAAAGCATTTAGTAAACACCTAGTATGTTCTAGCCACATAAAGATACAAAAGTTCAATGGGTCCCTGCCCTCAAGGCACTAACTTTCTCCTAGAGGAAGACCTCCGATTTGGGAGTGGTGGCCAGAGAAAGGAATTTTGGTCTGGGGAGACAGAGAGAAGGTGATTAAAGAAAAGGGTAGTTCATGGTCATTCCCATTCTAGTCAAAATGGTGGTATAGATTTGATTTTTGTTCTCAAAGAGGTAGCAAGTGAGGGGAGTTACATGAGGGGCAGAGCAGGGGACAAAGTGTCCTGGTTGCCTGATAGATGCCTGGTTGGCAAGTAAAGTGTGGTCTGGGGTTGGTCACACATAGTGGGTTAGGTGAGGCTCTACTTACTAAACTACCAATCAGGAGAGTTCAGCCCCAAAGAGGACTTCCAAAGGGAAAGGAGGGGGAATAAACATTTACATAGCTCCTACTTGTGTGCCAGAGGCAGCTAGATGGCTCTGTGGATAGAGTGCTGGGCCTGGAATCAGGAAGACCTGGGTTCAAATGTAGCCTTAGACGCTTACTAGGTGACCCCGGACAAGTCACTTAACTTCTGTTATTCTTAATTTACTGGAGAAGGAAATGGCAAACCACTCCAGTATCCTTGCCAAGAAAGCCCCATGGTAAGTATTGGCATGCTATGGTCCATGGGGTCACAAAGGGTGAGACA